TAAGGAATTCACTGCGGGGGATGAAACACTCTAACAGGTATTATGATCACTATATACTCTTATGTCGTATTGAGTATTGCTCTTTTTATCCATCAGGTTATAGATGCCTTGGATTCTGGCAGTTGGTCGAAACAATTGAAGAGGTTCCAGGCAGTATCTGATGACTTATCAATCAAGGATGGTGTACTAACGAAGCTCGGTTGTGCCGTGGTACCGGAAAAACTACGTCAAAAGACTCTAAGAGTAGCGCATAGCGGACATCCTTTGACAGCAAAACTTAAAAGTATACTCCGGGAACGCGTGTGGTGGCCTGGGATGGCAACGGATGCAGATGAATGGGTTAAGTCATGCCAGACTTGCGCATTAAATGGCAGGCCCGAGAAGCTAACCCCCATGCAGCGTACGTTTGCTCCTAAAACAGTGTGGGAAACGATTGCGCTCGACTTCGCCCGTATGTGAGATTTGGAGGCATTTCAGTACTAGTGGTTATCGATTACAGATCAAGATATGCTATTGCAAGACCTGTTAAATCTACTAGTTTTGAAAACACAAAGAAAGTCCTAGATGAAGTGTTTGATAAAGAAGGATTCCCGAAAGCAATCAAATCTGACAACGGACCGCCGTGTGACATCGCCATGATGAATACAAAACTTATTGCAGCGACAGGGGCATCCAAACGATTTTCTCTACGCCATTTTTCCCGCAGCAGAATGGTTTAGTGGAGAATTTCATGAAAATCGTGAACAAAGCAATGTCAACTGCATCGTCGAGTGGGAGCTACTTCAACGAAGAACTACAGGCGGCAGTTCACGCACATAATGCAGCAGACCATAGTATCACTAAGATGCCACCAGAAGAGGTTATGTCCGGAAGAAGAATCCAACGAGAACTACCACTACTAACCCGTGGAAAAGCGGAAATTGATGAGCAGCTGCAGGAAGCTGGTTTGGCCTAATTTAGTGAAAACAAGCTAACCGAAGACTTAGATGCTTAATTATGCAGATGTTTGACATTTTAGTATAAATTTATTCATAATTATAGGGTTGGAATTCTTGCCCCGTGTGAGGTTCATTTTTAAGATGATTTTTCAGCAATTATAGGGAATATTGACCTATTCTTTGTTATTGACGTTTCAATTATTCTTTATAAATGATGCCTCAATGCAGGAGTTGTAGGAAACAATATTTTGAAATTTGAAAATCCTTATGTTATGATGTCTAATTATTATATTGCGCAATACACACCAAACTGGACTAATAAGCGCGTTTTCACTTACTTACACAGTGCACTTACTCCTTGGCAAGTAAGCAATAAGTGCACCGAAGACACCAAAACGATTTGACGGAAACGTGCACTTTTATCACACTTTTTAGATTATATAAGCTGTCCAGTTTCAGTTGCAATCAGCAATAAATAATTTCGATTTTCGGACATCAGCACAAAATGATTTTTTTTTTTGCAATTTTTGTAAAACTTCGTACTGGACAGAACTTTCTATAATGCTGCAGGAACACCATCAATAGTTTCATGGGTGAATTAGCATTGAAATAGTGTTTATTTTCAAATTTATTGGATACGGTACTCTTGCCCCACTCGACCCTCAATCCAAACGGCGCTTTGAAACAAGTTGAAAATTTTACACTGTTTGAAAAATACATGTAAATTTCCGCGATATATAGGGTAGACGTACCAGTTATGGCTATACGTTCCCATTATGGTATGTTCCAATTATGGCCTATGGAATTCCATAGGCCATAATTGGAACACACCATAATGGGAACGTATAGCCATAACTGGTACGTCTACCCTAGTGCACACGTTATTAACGCTAGATTTGTCGTAAATTTACACGATATTTTCTGCTTCTGTGATAATGGTCATAAATTGTTTATAATCCCTCCTAAACTTTAACTGAAATGTTTATGAAACTTTTCATGAACGTTTGTGTGAAAGTTTGAACCTTATGTTTTATAGTTTTTTTGGAAGTGGGCCTTACAAATAATGGGTTGTTAAGAACCATTACCATTCCAAATTCTTGTTTTCTCCGTATACTTTCGGAAAGAGAACCTTTTTACTGATGGTTTAGAAATTTAATGATAATGGTTATGGTAGTCAGTAAGGTCCATGTATGGTTTTGTATTATCGGTTCATTTTTGAAATATATCATGAATTGGTAATCATTAATTTACAGGCAACCAATTCTCGATTTATTCTACATAAAGTTGATCGATGTTACAAAACCATTAATGGACCTTACGGACTACCATAACCATTACCATTAACATTAAAGTTCACAAACCATAAGTTAAAAGGTTCTAATTTAGTTCTTTTTCCGAAAATGTATGGAGAAAACAAGAATTTGGAATGGTAATGGTTCTTAAAAACCCATTATTTGTAAGGTCCACTTCCAAAAAACCAAAACAAATAAGGTAAAAACTTTCACACAAATGTTCATGAAAAGTTCCATAACCATTTCAGTTATAGTTTAGGAGAGATTATAAACAATTTATAACCATTATCGGTAATGTCAAGTGATGGTTCGCGTTTATGCGAGATGTTCTACTTTGGATTAGGAACCCACTAGTTTAGAGGGGATGTATCATTAGCATTTTAAACATGGCAAAAATTGAGCTAAATTTTGCTCGTAAAGTGATTGTTTGAACAATACTTCTTTTTATTTTCAGTAACATCTCGATATCTGAAGAGTAGCGCAGTGCCTACTAAAAACCTAAAGAGGCCAGTGAAGTCTACAGCGATTCATCGCAGAAGGGTCAAGCAGAATCCGATGCCACAGTGTCTGCTTGATCACAACTATTGTAAGGAAGATGTTCGACCAAAAAGCAATAGAATGTGCTCAGTTTACGGTTGTAAAACCAAATCCAGCAAAGGCGTGTTTCTGCATCAATTTCCGAATGATGGGGTCAAGGCGAAAATTTGGATGCATGCTGTGAAAATGGGATCCAAACCACGTAAGAACTCATTTGTGTGCAGCCAACACTTTCACGACAGCGACTATAATTCAGGTAAGTAGAAGCGGCTATAATTGTTAAAGCGAACAACCATGTTTTCTAAAATGTCATAATTGTGACAATTAATATTTGTATTGATATTCCCCAGGTACGAATGTATTAAAGAAAACTGCAGTCACGGACAGATGATCCATACAAACGAATCTTTGAATCCTTCAGAAGAACAGGAGACATCAAGTGTCACTCTGACCATAGTATGAACTCCAATGAAACAGCTGAAAATTCATCCCTGAACCAAACAGTACCATTAACCGGTAGTCCACAGGCTGGCCCTTCTGGATTGCATTCCGTGAATAGTTGTCATGATTTTGCTACACCGAGTATATTAAGTGCCGAGCTCGATAATTGTAACCTGAACTGCTTCAACGATGAAAGTCTTCCTCGAAAAGAGGAAAACGAAGAAACGGTTCATAAAAATATTCTTGAAAAGACTATTCACACACATGGCAAAGCCATTTTGAGCGACTTTTTAATATCGGGAAAGGACCTAATGACATGGACCGGTATTTCATCCTTGAAGTTGTTGGAAGTTGTATGTGCAATGGTCAGAACCATGGAAGATAATGTATACCCGAAGAAATACAAAATGCACACTACGGATCGCGTAATACTAACGTTGGTGAAGTTGAAGCAAAACCTATCATTTGCTGCATTATCAACTATTTTCTGCGTATCACCAACAACTGCTGCTGAATACTTCGCATACACCGTTCAGGTACTTCCAGAAGTACTAGGAAGTGTGGTATATTGGCCATCTCGACATGAAATAAAAAATAATATCCCACATTGCTTCAAAGGAAAGTTTGAAAATGTTCGGTGCGTTCATCCTTCCTTTTTTATTTAACGTCGGTCTCTGTTCCGCAATCTAGTGCCAATCACCGACGGACATCGATTGCCATTCATTGACGGCAATCGAATGTGCAAGAAGGCAGCTTCCACACCTGCGTAGGATATCGCACCCATTCATCAAACACACATGGGCCGGGACCAACGGCTTTACTTCCCTTCCGAAGGAAGACGTGACCAGAGATTTTTATGCCTCAGAAAAATCCCACCGACCTCGGCTAGGATTGAACCCAGACCCATCGGGGTGTTAAAAAGCAGTCACGCTTACCACTACACCACCGGCGCCGGCGTTCAGTGCGTTCTTGACTGTACAGAGGTTAGCATTGCATCACCAAACTGCTTGAATTGTAGAATTGTAAGCTATTCAAATTACAAGCACAAGCGAACAGTTAAATTCTTCTTAGGTGTTACACCTGCAGGGCTTATAAGCTTCTGTAGTCGTGCGTATTCAGGGAAGTCATCTTCACTAAGGAAAACTTCATTGACAAGCTGGTAAAATATCAAGATGAGATCATGGTTGATAAGGGATTCGCCATCGAGAAAGAGTGCAACGAAAATGGAATTCGGTTGCACATCCCACCTTTTCTACGCGAAAATAAATTAATCACAGAAGATGCACTGCTAAACGAATCAATTGCAAAAGCTCGTGTGCATGTGGAGCGTGTAATTGCGAGAATAAAGTTGTTTGGCGTTCTGCAAGGTGACATCGACGCAAGTGTACTAGGACATATCGACAATATCATGAAAATTGTTTGCGGAATTGTAAACTTATCTGCACCGATCTTAAAAGACGATAAGTTTTAATCGAATGTAACCCTGAAAAGTAATTTATTTAGTTTTTTTATCATTTTTAAATCAAATAGAGTGTCAAATATCTCAAGCAGGTGGGAGAACCTATTTCAAGTAGGGTGTCAAAAATAACTTTGAACGCTTGTTTTATGTTGCAAAATACATCACGTCTTAGAGCACGTTTTTAATAGGTCTCCGATTTTTTTTAACAAAATTCATAATTAAATAAATTAAATTAATTAAAATATGGTTCTCCCACGTTTAATCCATTTTGAGAAAAATATGACTAAATAATATAATGATGACAAAAAACTAATCTTTTCCTTTTGCAGTCGTCTACATGTACACCAGGATATTTTCGTTTCCAGCGACAGTCGTCTACATATACACCGGATCAATCGTTAGGATATTCAAAATAATGAATGCAAATCATCTGCACACAAAAACTACTTAGGTCAAAAATGTTAATTTTATTTTAATTCAATAAAACTTTGAACAGTACTTCTTTTAATTGACAGTGAAATACAATTTGGGCGGGAGTCCGGCATTGTATCTTTATTCATAAAATAACTGAATACCATAAAAGCTAATATATCAGAAGCTTATGAGTATTTTTAATAAGGTGGGTTAACAATAATAATTAGCATGGGTTTTACAGATTATCCGCAAAAAAAAACACAGAAAGGTTCGGTAAAACAAAAATTTATTCTTCCAAAATTTAACCGAAGAATTTGTAAAAAAAATACCGATCCGTTCGGTAATTGCAAAAAATCAATTACAGATATTTCGGTAATCCAAAAAATCACCGAACACATTACCGAACTTTCAGCTGTTGAGATTTCGGTAAAATTTTACAGATTTCTGTAAAAAAATCTAAGTGTGTAGGATTTTCATTTTTAGAATATGTGTACAGGCTATAGCACGAACTTGCTGTGATACGTATGGCTCGCTGCATTTGCCACTTTGATGCTTCGATATTATTAAGGTTATGTTTTGTATGCTTTCAGATTCTCATCCCGAAATCGACGTCCAAGTCAGTCTAGTCGATATACTGGATTACGTTGGGGATTCCGTGCGACCTATACGAGAGGGACTAGCTGTCTTAGAGGTCCAGCATATTGTGTGCCTAGGCTACACCAGGAGATCAGCGAGAATCGAGGAGAAAGGGTTTGTTCTACAAAGAAATACACGCTGAACAAAAAGCATGCCTACTATGCACAGGTTCAAGTCAACATGTGGGTGATGAAGTGTTTCAGAACTGATTTTATTGTGTATTCTTCCAAAGATGATGACTTCATCGTCATTGATGTTGGGTTTGATGAAAAGTTCGTTCATGATCTGAAGCAAGTTCTGAAGGAAGTTTATTTTCAACATGTGTTGCCAAAATTAAAGCGATAGATCAATGGTGATCACAATCGATTAATATTTAATTAATAAAAACTGAATAATTAAACTTTTTCGTTACTTTTATTCCAGTACACTTATATGGTGGAGCAAATGGGACCCATTTCCGTCATACGCTTCAAAAATAATAAATACAATCAGCAGCATTCAGCGGTGCTGGTGGAGTAGTGGTAAGCGTGACTGCCTCTCACTCCAAAGGGCCTGGGTTCAAACTCAGTCAGCGCCATCAGGATTCATAAAATCTCTGATCACGCTTAAAGTAAAGCCGTTGATCAACGACTCATGCGTTGATGGGTCGATATGTAGGGTCCAGGTGTGGGAGCTGTCTCCTTGGCATCGGTAGCATTGGTACTGAGTCAGGGATGGAAAATCATTTACATTCATTTCGTGCATTCATTTACATTCATTTGCCTGTAACTTTTTCCATCAACAGAATACCGTAAAATAATGTATGAAGCTTTTGTAGCTTTTGATATTAACTACAACTCTTGTAAATAATTAAAATCTGAATCTCTTATGCATGTCGAACTAGAGATGGCAGAACATGTTATTGTTTTTCAGTGAATGCAATTTACATTCACTGAAAAACAATGGTGGGTTCTTATCACACTGATTCATCATGCATAAGAGATACCGGTTTGAGTTGTTAACAAAATATGTAGCTAATATCTTCATAGCTTCAAACACTATTTTACGAAATTCTGTTGATTAAAAAAGTTAGAGGCAAATGAATGTAAATGAATGTACGAAATGAATGCAAATGATTTTCCATCCCTGTACTGAGTACGGAAAAAAACAAGTAAAAAACAATCAAAATTCATGCATTAAATTCATTGCTCAAGAATAAATGTAAGGGACTGCCAGGTGGTTTAAGGGGTTGGCTAAAGTGAAGTGAGGTATGCCAAAATGGTGCCACACCCATTCAATAGTTTTTTTTTTCCAAGAATTCGAATCGATTTTCGGCCTCTGATAACTTGCTCTGTATATTTTACTCAATGTAATACCATCGACAGACATTCACCCATATTATTGTTTTCGTTCGAACCGTATTGCATTATTGTAGAGTAAGGTGGGGCAAAATTCGTTATGGTGCGAGATGAATCATCAACTTGATTTTTTTTATTTTTAATAGGAACAGGGTGTAAATGTTTAAAAATACAAACCATTATTGGGGATGCATTGCATTCTGATAAAGTAATTAATGTACTAGCTGACCCTTGCCCCACCTAACCCAACTAGCATTATACTATTTATATCTAGTATCATAATCGACGTATATCGGTAGTACAATGTCGTAATTGTTTCACTATGTTATGGGCGTTGAGCAATGGTGCAGATTATGCAAAACAAATGGGGTAGATGTACCAGTTATGACTAAACGTTCCTATTATGGTGTATTCCATTTATGGCCTATGGGAATCTCATAGGCCATATTTGGAACACACCATAACAGGAACGTATAGCAATAACTGGTACACATACCCTGTATGAATTTTTCCTCACATTTCCCTACAAACTTTGAAATTCTCCCTTCAAATCGTAAACCATGTTGAAATGTGGTGCAGATTTTTGGAATCGTAATAAAATTATTATTGTTAACCCACCTTATTAAAAATACTCATAAGCTTCTGATATATTAGCTTTTATGGTATTCAGTTATTTTATGAATAAAGATACAATGCCGGACTCCCGCCCAAATTGTATTTCACTGTCAATTAAAAGAAGTACTGTTCAAAGTTTTATTGAATTAAAATAAAATTAACATTTTTGACCTAAGTAGTTTTTGTGTGCAGATGATTTGCATTCATTATTTTGAATATCCTAACGATTGATCCGGTGTATATGTAGACGACTGTCGCTGGAAACGAAAATATCATGGTGTACATGTAGACGACTGCAAAAGGAAAAGATTAGTTTTTTGTCTTCATTATATAATTTAGTCATATTTTTCTCAAAATGGATTAAACGTGGGAGAACCATATTTTAATTAATTTAATTTATTTAATTATGAATTTTGTTAAAAAAAAATCGGAGACCTATTAAAAACGTGCTCTAAGACGTGATGTATTTTGCAACATAAAACAAGCGTTCAAAGTTATTTTTGACACCCTACTTGAAATAGGTTCTCCCACCTGCTTGAGATATTTGACACTCTATTTGATTTAAAAATGATAAAAAAAACTAAATAAATTACTTTTCAGGGTTACATTCGATTAAAACTTATCGTCTTTTAAGATCGGTGCAGATAAGTTTACAATTCCGCAAACAATTTTCATGATATTGTCGATATGTCCTAGTACACTTGCGTCGATGTCACCTTGCAGAACGCCAAACAACTTTATTCTCGCAATTACACGCTCCACATGCACACGAGCTTTTGCAATTGATTCGTTTAGCAGTGCATCTTCTGTAATTAATTTATTTTCGCGTAGAAAAGGTGGGATGTGCAACCGAATTCCATTTTCGTTGCACTCTTTCTCGATGGCGAATCCCTTATCAACCATGATCTCATCTTGATATTTTACCAGCTTGTCAATGAAGTTTTCCTTAGTGAAGATGTATTTATCTGATGACTTCCCTGAATACGCACGACTACAGAAGCTTATAAGCCCTGCAGGTGTAACACCTAAGAAGAATTTAACTGTTCGCTTGTGCTTGTAATTTGAATAGCTTGCAATTCTACAATTCAAGCAGTTTGGTGATGCAATGCTAACCTCTGTACAGTCAAGAACGCACCGAACGCCGGCGCCGGTGGTGTAGTGGTAAGCGTGACTGCTTTCTAACACCCCGATGGGTCTGGGTTCAATCCTAGCCGAGGTCGGTGAGATTTTTCTGAGGCATAAAAATCTCTGGTCACGTCTTCCTTCGGAAGGGAAGTAAAGCCGTTGGTCCCGGCCCATGTGTGTTTGATGAATGGGTGCGATATCCTACGCAGGTGTGGAAGCTGCCTTCCTGCACATTCGATTGCCGTCAATGAATGGCAATCGAATGTCCGTCGGTGATTGGCACTAGATTGCGGAACAGAGACCGACGTTAAATAAAAAAGGAAGAAAGAACGCACCGAACATTTTCAAACTTTCCTTTGAAGCAATGTGGGATATTATTTTTTATTTCATGTCGAGATGGCCAATATACCACACTTCCTAGTACTTCTGGAAGTACCTGAACGGTGTATGCGAAGTATTCAGCAGCAGTTGTTGGTGATACGCAGAAAATAGTTGATAATGCAGCAAATGATAGGTTTTGCTTCAACTTCACCAACGTTAGTATTACGCGATCCGTAGTGTGCATTTTGTATTTCTTCGGGTATACATTATCTTCCATGGTTCTGACCATTTCACATACAACTTCCAACAACTTCAAGGATGAAATACCGGTCCATGTCGTTAGGTCCTTTCCCGTTATTAAAAAGTCGCTCAAAATGGCTTTGCCATGTGTGTGAATAGTCTTTTCAAGAATATTTTTATGAACCGTTTCTTCGTTTTCTTCTTTTCGAGGAAGACTTTCATCGTTGAAGCAGTTCAGGTTACAATTATCGAGCTCGGCACTTAATATACTCGGTGTAGCAAAATCATGACAACTATTCACGGAATGCAATCCAGAAGGGCCAGCCTGTGGACTACCGGTTAATGGTACTGTTTGGTTCAGGGATGAATTTTCAGCTGTTTCATTGGAGTTCATACTATGGTCAGAATGACACTTGATGTCTCCTGTTCTTCTGAAGGATTCAAAGATTCGTTTGTATGGATCATCTGTCCGTGACTGAACTTGTTGTAAGAATGTTAAAGGAATGTTACGAGATGGTACTGCAGTTTTCTTTAATACATTCGTACCTGGGGAATATCAATACAAATATTAATTGTCACAATTATGACATTTTAGAAAACATGGTTGTTCGCTTTAACAATTATAGCCGCTTCTACTTACCTGAATTATAGTCGCTGTCGTGAAAGTGTTGGCTGCACACAAATGAGTTCTTACGTGGTTTGGATCCCATTTTCACAGCATGCATCCAAATTTTCGCCTTGACCCCATCATTCGGAAATTGATGCAGAAACACGCCTTTGCTGGATTTGGTTTTACAACCGTAAACTGAGCACATTCTATTGCTTTTTGGTCGAACATCTTCCTTACAATAGTTGTGATCAAGCAGACACTGTGGCATCGGATTCTGCTTGACCCTTCTGCGATGAATCGCTGTAGACTTCACTGGCCTCTTTAGGTTTTTAGTAGGCACTGCGCTACTCTTCAGATATCGAGATGTTACTGAAAATAAAAAGAAGTATTGTTCAAACAATCACTTTACGAGCAAAATTTAGCTCAATTTTTGCCATGTTTAAAATGCTAATGATACATCCCCTCTAAACTAGTGGGTTCCTAATCCAAAGTAGAACATCTCGCATAAACGCGAACCATCACTTGACATTACCGATAATGGTTATAAATTGTTTATAATCTCTCCTAAACTATAACTGAAATGGTTATGGAACTTTTCATGAACATTTGTGTGAAAGTTTTTACCTTATTTGTTTTGGTTTTTTGGAAGTGGACCTTACAAATAATGGGTTTTTAAGAACCATTACCATTCCAAATTCTTGTTTTCTCCATACATTTTCGGAAAAAGAACTAAATTAGAACCTTTTAACTTATGGTTTGTGAACTTTAATGTTAATGGTAATGGTTATGGTAGTCCGTAAGGTCCATTAATGGTTTTGTAACATCGATCAACTTTATGTAGAATAAATCGAGAATTGGTTGCCTGTAAATTAATGATTACCAATTCATGATATACATATTTCAAAGTGAACCGATAATACAAAACCATACATGGACCTTACTGACTACCATAACCATTATCATTAAATTTCTAAACCATAAGTAAAAAAGTTCTCTTTCCGAAAGCATACGGAGAAAACAAGAATTTGGAATGGTAATGGTTCTTAACAACCCATTATTTGTAAGGCCCACTTCCAAAAAACTATAAAACATAAGGTTCAAACTTTCACACAAACGTTCACGAAAAGTTTCATAAACATTTCAGTTAAAGTTTAGGAGGGATTATAAACAATTTATGACCATTATCGCAGAAGCAGAAAATATCGTGTAAATTTACGACAAATCTAGCGTTAATAACGTGTGCACTATATTTCACGGAAATTTACATGTATTTTTCAAACAGTGTAAATTTTTCAACTTGTTTCAAAGCGCCGTTTGGATTGAGGGTCGAGTGGGGCAAGAGTACCGTATCCAATAAATTTGAAAATAAACACATTTTCAATGCTAATTCACCCATGAAACTATTGATGGTGTTCCTGCAGCATTATAGAAAGTTCTGTCCAGTACGAAGTTTTACAAAAATTGCAAAAAAAAAATCATTTTGTGCTGATGTCCGACAATCGAAATTATTTATTGCTGATTGCAACTGAAACTGGACAGCTTATATAATCTAAAAAGTGTGATAAAAGTGCACGTTTCCGTCAAATCGTTTTGGTGTCTTCGGTGCACTTATTGCTTACTTGCCAAAGAGTGAGTGCACCGTGTAAGTAAGTGAAAACGCGCTTATTAGTCCAGTTTGGTGTGTATTGCGCAATATAATAATTAGACATCATAACATAAGGATTTTCAAATTTCAAAATATTGTTTCCTACAACTCCTGCATTGAGGCATCATTTATAAAGAATAATTCAAACGTCAATAACAAAGAATAGGTCAATATTCCCTATAATTGCTGAAAAATCATCTTAAAAATGAACCTCACACGGGGCAAGAATTCCAACCCTATAATTATGAATAAAATTATACTAAAATGTCAAACAATCTGCATAATTAAGCATCTAAGTCTTCGGTTAGCTTGTTTTCACTAAATTAGGCCAAACCTGCTTCCTAATATATCAACAGCAATAGTTTTCATTTGAATTCATTGGTAGTAGCTCATTTGTTATGTATTGAATAATATTGTTAAATTCAATAGTTAAATCGAGTAAACAATAACAGCTTTTGCTAGCATGATTAATAAACAAAAGGTTATGTTTATAAACAAGCATTAATAGATTTCACTCAACTTAAGACGCATGTCCCTTTTGCCTCATAGCGGTTGGCACTCTTGCCCTATTGCAGTTTAAAAAAAGATTTGAGATGACGTCATCTGAAAAAATCGTAAACAACTTTTGACGAGATTTAGCTTGCATTACATTGCGGTGTAGAAACTCCTATAAATATCCACTATTTGGCATACATAGAAGGTAAAATTGTTAAGGTTGCACTCTTGCCCCACCCCACCAGACCCTTTTTCATTGATAGTTACAAACTTTCACGATATTTGGGAGGATGCAGTTTTGATCTAATCTGCTTACAAAAGATGGAGTTTAATCTCATCTACCGAAAGCTATTTGGAAATTCCACAACAGTTCTTTAGATTAACAATAACAGTAGAGGTACTCTAAAACAGGGTGTAATTGATCAGCGGAATGAATTTGAGCGCTGAAGTTTCGCATTATTGTGGTCATATATTTAATGTGAAAAGTTGCTGAACAAGGATGAATTTTTAGGCCCTAAAACTCAAAAAATATTACACTTGAAGCAAATGAATAAGAAATTTCAATGATCAAATTCACCCCGCTGATCAATTACATCCCTTTTTACGGTATTTTAATCCATTTGGACAGGCAATAGCTCTAATATAATAATCAAGGGGCCTCTCTTATTACCTCAGTCGGTTAAGGCGCAGTTATAAAGAATGACCATGCTGGAGGCGGCTGAGATATTAGTCATGGGCATAGAGTACAGGCTTAGAAAGCTCTTAATTCAGAACTGTGAAAGTGCTCAAGTTGAGGGCCGGAGTGAAGTCCCAGTTGAGATGTAATAATGCCAAGGAAGAAGAAGATAATCGATCAAAACAAACAAATATCATCTGCATAAAGTCCGAACAGAATCCTGCTCTTTCCGACTGGACCGGGTTTTACAGTGGTTAGGAATACTTGCTCCCCTCTAACCATTGTAAACCCCGGTTCAGTCGGGACGAGCTCGGTGTTATTCAACCGCAAACACCTCAATACTTCCTTTTTACAGTGTCACTATGCTTTCGTCAAATAAAACCGAGCATTACACAGAACAGGAATCTACTCCTTTGCACACAATGTACTAACCTGTAGCAAAATCATTCTCCTTAAAATGCTTTTGACACATTTTCCATCCAGCTGTGTTGATGTCCAAGCAGCCAAGTAATTTTGCCCACTTTTTCCACACCTTCGATGTTGAAGAGGGAAACTTCTCCATCCTCCTCGGGTTTTTCGAACGGCATCCCGCAACGCAGCAAGCTTTTTTGTCTGCTACCTTAATCATTCCAACTGGCAATTCATTACAAGGTATGGCAGTGGTCTTCAGCTTTCTCCGAATGTCTGTCAATTGGCGTTGACGGCGACTCTGTAGCTCTTTACTCCTATGAGAAAATCCATAAGCAAACGTCAGACTGTGCGTGAAACATGGCGGACTTTGTACTATCCTTTCACTCCACTGAAAGTTCCCATAAGAAACTGACGATATTTGCTGGAAGAGCAAATTTTTCGACGGTGCCGTCAACGCCAATTATAAAGTTACAGCACATTATAAATCTAACACAAATGCAATAGTAAAATCCAACCAATTACCGCCCACCCGTGGCGCTGTTGTCGTAGCGGTGATAAAAATGTAAACATCTGTCAAACGTGACTCATATCAGAATTTTCATTTTTTAAATTGAAAATTTGTCTTGTCTTGGTACGTTTTTGATGGTCAAAAAGCTTGTAGAATTGTAGGAAAAGTGTCCTTCTTCAAAGTGACAAATGACTACAATGATATCACTGCTTGCAATCAGGAAAATAGTTGAATTTTTAGACTACGTAAACACAAGCTCCACCGCCTAACATTCTCATTGTTGTTGCAGGATCGTTGCATTATCCCGGGATGCAACGAGAACAAATTTCAACTTTTTCGAGTTCCAAATTCGGGGAGCAACAAATTCGTGCAGTGGAGAAAGGTTGCCACTGTTTACGGATCAGAAGAATATAAGTTCCAAAGTTTGTTGTCCCCCCGACAACATTAAATTTAAGATTAACTTCATGTGGCCGCTCCCCGGGATAGGAACTTTGCAGAACAAATCCATTCCCCTCAATTCTTGCTTTGCTGCTGATCTACTGGTGTAGCCCAGGCACACAATATGCTAGGTCTCTAAATCCGCTAGCACGGAGTCTCCAACATCATCCAGCAGACTGATTCGGACGTCGATTTCAATCATACAAAATATAACCTAAATAATATCGGTTTATCAAAAAACACATTTTCATTATCTTTCAATGACATTGTAATGAAAATTAATATAACATTACCACAGACAAACAGACATAACTCATTGAATATTTCTTACTGTAAAACGTCGTCGCTAAAACATTACCGCCATCTGTTGAGTACACTGTGGTGGGTAGTACGCTGAACAGATGGCGGTAGTGTGTAAACGTCAAACGCAAGGGAATTTAATATGCGCGTCACAGGTGGCGGTACTACCAACTATGATACTTTTAAATTGACCGTTAAATGCTTGTTCGATGAACAACTTGTGAGTGTTATGTCTGTTTGTCTGTGGCATTACATTATTCGACAAATTTCCTACATGTATAATCCAAAGTAATGCTCGTATCTCACTATTTTGAACTCTTTTTTCAATAATGTATCACTCAAACTCTGGAATTTAAACCGGCTGCCATAAATTTATCACCATCGACTAGTACTATTTCCCGCCACTAGTGACGTATAAATTTCACTTGGATTCTACTATAGAACCATAGAGGTAACTCTAAGACCACTGGGTCCCGAAGAAAATCATTATTATTTTTGGCTCACTCAGTACCAGAACAACGGTCCCAAGCAGTCCCAAGCTATTTCACTCACCCCTGCATGTTCTGCATGAATCCACACACCCCTGATGTTATCTGTCAAACTTTCATAGCGAATCAAAACAAACATAGTGTAGTAATAGAATTTCAACAAGAATAGGGTACGTTAATCGTTTGCTTGGGACCAATAGGCTACTAAAGTGGTGAGCCAATTTAAAATCGTTAGTTTCGTATTGATTGTTGATAGAACTTACTTTCAACAAAATCTGTGTCAACAAAATGCTGGGAGCAAATTCGCTCTGTCCCTGTTCCATAAACAGTGGCAACTTTTCTCCACTGCCTAAATTTGTTGCTCCTCGAGTTCGGAACCCGAAAAAGTAGAGATTTGTCCTCGTTGCATCCCGGGATAATGCAACGATCCTGCAACAACAAAGAAAATGTTAAGCGGTGGAGCTTGCATTAACGTAGTCTAAAAATCAACTATTTTTTCGTGAATGCAAGCAATTAAATTATTGAAGCCACTTACCATTTTGTAGAAGATCACTTTTCGTATAATTCGATTAACTTTTTGGTCACCAAAACGTACAGAAAGCATCAAATTTTCACTTTCAAATGTGAAAAATTTTGATGCTAGTCGCGTTTGACAGCTGTTAACATTTTTTATCACCGCTATGACAACAGCGCCACGGGTGGCCGGTGGCTGGTTGGATTTTACTATAGGTACGGAATTTCATGAAAAGTAGGTGTGTGTGTTAATTCATTTGCTGCTAAGTAAACACGAGCCTACATATGATTGAAATCAGTGAGCTTGCAGCTCTGAGGTGCCACGGTCTAGAACAGGAATAGGAATTCTTGCTTACAACCATTCTATTTCCTTGGCGAGGGAGCGACACATCCAGATTCGAAAAAAAATTACAGTGAAATCTTCAATGGAAACAATGCTCTAACCTCGGCTCTAACATTAATATTTATTGTCGACAATAAAAATGATTGTTATAATGTTGTACTCTTCCGAAAACGGCAAAACTGCTACCTAGATGTACAATGAATGTACATAATAAAATGTTGTTAGAATGATTTTTATCGTATTTTTCATTTATTTTATTGTTAACATGATTCGATCATGAACAATAATGAACAACTCTATTACAATAAAAATTGTTGTTACATTAAATATCGGTGTATTTTCATTGTGGGTTACTTCTCGAACAATAAAAATAAATCTGATTGAAGCATGCAGACTATGAGAGGGTCAGCAACACTGCCAATGTAATTAAGATAGGCGCTGCTCGTATGGCTCTGGCTTTGACAGTTCGTTTGACTCAAAATCAGGCAGTCCGCGTCCGCTCATATCTTATCCTAGACCCTCTCTAAAGCTTAATGGAGACCTTTTCCGTGCAGTCAATAATCATACAATAATAATAAAAAATTCCACCACTTGAAGATGTCAGAAAGGAACTCTCAGGTGGAAGCATATTTCATGGGCGATTCTCTCCAGTTGAATGCATTAACTTATCAATGACGCTCAACCACCAAGGAGACGTGGAGAGATCGAGCGCAGGGGAGTTGGCCTGTATTTCTCACAAGTTCCGGATCGATTCTCGATCCATAACCAGTAAAAAAAAGGACCACCCGTAACAGACATACCACCCCCTTCCCTTCCCGGGGCAATGTTTTATTTTTTCGATTTATTTTTAAAGTCGATAAAGTAGATCTGTCAAGCCAACACATACACTCTAAAGTACACTGTTATTTTTTTTAGTCAATAAATTCGCCAACCAACAGTAAAATAACAATAATATATTATGTTATTGAAAAAAATTATATGGGAAAATCACGAAAATTTCATTGTTAAGATACTTAACAACCCCCCTTTTTTATTGTAAATTTTCCATTTACCATGAAATTTACTGTTTTGTACAACATAAATCAAGGTAAATTTATTGAAGCCGTAACAATAAAAATCATTGTTAAGACAATAATTTTCGTCTTATTGTTACATTGTTTTTTAATGTATTTTTGTTGTTATTTTTTTTCGGGTTATCTCATTTTCAGCGTGAATCTGTTCTATTTTTTATATATTTATTTACCGTACGACATCTGTTTGCATCTGTGGCATCTACTACCATCTACTTGCGCATGCTCGAATCTTCTCGTGATCGAGCTATCACCGAACAAACAACCATAGCAGACGAAGCAGCAAGCTGGAGGTGTTTATTTACATTTCGATGAGACTTTGTTTTGTAACTTTAACTTAACTTTAACTCAACTTAACTTTAACTTAACTAAAACTTAACTCAAACTTAACTTTAACTTAACTTTAACTTTAACTTAACTTTAACTTAACTTTAACTTTAACTTAACTTTCACTTAACTTAAACTTAACTTTAACTTAACTTTAACTTAAATTTAACTTAACTTAAACATAAGCTTAACTTAACTTTAACGTAACATTAACTAAATTTCAACTTTTGCGTAACATTAACTAACTTTAACTTTAACATAACATTAACTTTACTTTAACATAATTGTAGCATAACTTGAACATAACTCTAAATTAATTAGCCGAACTTTAACTTAACTTTAACATAAATTTTTATTTAAATTTAGTTGTTACATACTTAATTTAACTTAACTTTAAAATAACTTTAATTTTTACTTAATTATAATAAAACTTTAACTTAACTTTACCTTAAACATAAACATCGGGATCCGGCATCGGCATGCGTTACATCAACAAGGATGCTTAACTCAGCCGGATTCCTCCAGCGGATCGATTTCGGAAAATAATTTCATCAAAATTGATCCGCTGGAGGAATCCGGATGTGTTGAACATCCTTATTGATACGTTGCTTCAGTAAGGATGCTTAAGTCAGCTGTATTCCTCCAGCGGATCAATTTTAGAAAATAGTTGCATAAAAAATGATCCGATGGAGGAATCCGAATGAGTTAATCAGCCTTGTTGATGCGTTGCATCAAAAATAGTTACACTTATACCCCGTTCACATTACAGCCTATATCACGTAATATAGGCTGTCTTGCAATGAGCACTCATACATAGGATTTCCAGTGAAAACTAGATGTATGAGTGCTCATTGCAAGACAGCGTATATCACGTGATATACGCTGTAATGTGAACGGGGTATTATACCCCGTACAGACTATGGTTTATATCATGTAATATAGGCTGTCTTGCAATGAGCACTCATGCATAGGATTTCCAGTGAAAACTAGATGTATGAGTGCTCATTGCAAGACAGCGTATATCTCTTAAGTGTTAGGATATAAGTATGTTCAAGACTTTTACTCAGGGGACAACAGGAAAATCAAATATGCTTGATTTTCTCAGTCCTAGAAAGTTGTGTTGTTCTTATAATCAGGAAAGACCAATATTATGTTAAAATTGAATAAAATAACAATAAAGTATGATTAAAATCATCGAATTGAGAGTGTTTTCATTCTTTTGGGTTGTTAAAATAATTACTTTATGGAAATCTCAACATACCAGCACATACTATGGTTTTTACAGTGAATTTAAATGAATTCTAGACATTCAAAGTGTTTTTATGTTACTTCATACGCGAAGTTAACGATTTTCAGAGTTGGTTGGAAATGCTAACATGAAGCTTTAGTGTGATGATTTATTAGCTAGAGAATGATCTTTAGAAGAGGGTAGGTGGATAGTTCCGTTTAGAGTACGGCAGTATGAAAATTGAACAGAAGTTAAAAATGAGCGAAGGGCCATTAATGCGACAGTTTTGAAAGATAGGCGCACATTTTTGCCTAACCCGTACGATGTACGCGGGGACTTGAAGTATGTCTCCAAGTCCACAGGCAAAAATGTGCGTCCCTCTTTTTGCTCATAAACTGACTGCGGCTGTGGAATAGTTCTAGCGACGTTTTCATCACTACCTAAAGCCCCACGTTGCGAGAGCATTTCCAGTCGATGGTGTGTTATAATGCAGTTCTTCTTTACCCAACTATTGTGTTGCTCATGTTAGCATTTCCAACCAACTCTGAAAATCGTTAACTTCGCGTATGAAGTAACATAAAAACACTTTGAATGTAACAACTCAAGGCGGGAGTAGCCGTCAACAATGCTGATGATGGTACAGCTACTCAGTGGAAATATTGATCAACAGGGTCGGAAGGAAGGAATGCGGTACACCACTCTCACTCATCAATCTATGCTGTCAGAAGGAACTCACAACGATAGGGTGTAGTCCATAAACAGGGCAACGGGATTAGCAATGGCAAATAACTGTATCATGATTTTTATGCTCAAAAGCCGCAGTGTAAAAACATTCATTCAATAACCGCAAAGGGAGGGAGGCATGGAGACTCCTTTCGAGTCCGGAAGAACGAAGCAAACACAAAAGGTAGTAAAATCATCAATGAATATGAAAAGTTTTCAAAAATTACATTTTTTCACTATATTTAATAGTTTTGGTGTATATGTACATAGATTTTGGGTTTGCTTTCTTAAATCTAAATTTGTGACGTCACATATTACTTGCGGTTTTGGTGGTGGGTCTTAGCTAATGGCGGTGCAGGGTGGTGGTGCTGGTGCGGTGGCAGCGGGGAGGATGCTGGTGCTGGGTATCGGTAGTGTTGCTGGTGTGTGGGTGATTATCGTGAATCACGGAACTTCCGGAAATGTTCCCACAGATTCTCTCACGGGGCATGCAGTTTTCGCCGGGCCAGTTGGCCAATCTGGACAGATAGTGGTAACCAGAATTCACAATGGCCGAGCCTACGATTTTATCGCCGAGGAATGCAATGGCGCCGATTCCCGGACAATAGCTGTCGATGAAACAAAAGAAAAAGGCCCTTAGTGGACCTAACCACCTGGATTAGTTACACACGCCATATGCTGTTTTTGCCCTGCCCCAAATCACCAATTAAACCGCAAGCTTACAAACTCACCAGATCTTTCACAAAATAACAAAAGTATACAATAAATTACCTTTTTCTTACAGACGAAAATGTTCAGAACAATGAACATTTAATGTGGGGTGACAATAGGTCACACTACCCTAGGTTGTGAACAAAGGAACACAATTAGCGTCTAAATGTTTTTATCTCTATCTCTAACAATACCAACCACTTTTTATTTTTATGTTCACTAACTTTACTAACCCTGACACTAACTTTTCAGGTACGCGCACTAGACCCTACAATTAAAGAAACAAATCACATTAATTAAAAATTTCACTACCGACACATCGCCCTTTCGGCGGACTTACGGGAAAACTTAGCACGGCGCGCACTGAGACTATTCCCGAGTGCGGTCAAGAAGGAATTGAATTTACTCCTGCTAACACGCCAAGCAATGACCGAAAAACCATGAACTACGAGCGAACCCGAACTTCACTGTATTTATCTTTTCAATTTATCTGCATTACCTCTCCCCTTGCCCCATCTATGGACAACCTTTTCGACAGAGCGCCTGCTGTCAACCGGTTTCATGAGAGTAAGTGGTGCCGCAGGCGAATGGAACGGTATGGGAAAGTGAGCGACCAAAAGCAGAGTTGGATTTAGGACGACCATTCTAAAACCACAGACAAACAGACGTAACTCTTTGATAAACTTGTTCTTGAAAACATAGTATCTCAAAACATATAACCTCAGTAGCGACATCTATCTGGCTTCTCGCGGAAAACAAGCTTGTTCGATAACTCGTAAACAATATTGCATAAAAGTTCTATAGAATGTATAGAAACGTCAAAGTGATCCGATGCCAGCGCTGCGGCGAGTAGTTCGCGGAACTGATAATATTCAAATCAACCGTTAAATGCATGAACGAAGATACACAATGAAGAGTTACGTCTGTTTGTCTGTGCTAAAACACTGTTATACAGTCGAT